TCAGTTGGGTTGCACTAATAATCCACAAAAATTCATGTTTCTCACAGTGCAACAGCATCCCACTTAGAGATTGCAGTTGGCCCTTCCACGCACAAAAGACTGTGGGAGCCTCCCCTCTGTCTTCAACCGGTTTTAATTGAGATCCATCACTCTAAGAGCTCTTTTCCTCTGAACTGGCATAAGCCAAATGTATTAACCTCATCCTGAAGGCTCATTTCCCTCTTCAGACTATTTCTGGGTCTGGTTGAGGTGATGGGGTATTGTTCACATGGATCACCACATACTTATTAACTTTTAGGAAGATCACTGGGGACTCTTTTGATGTCAACTCATCCCTTGCAAGCCAAAGTAGGTCAGGCACAGAACTCCCTTTGCCTTTGATTTTAAACCAAATATGAAGAGCCGGCCTAACTGCAGAGTAGGGCAACATATGCATCATTAAGCGCTCTGGAGCTAATTCTCCCCGGTAACAAATCGAGGTATAGCCCGTCACCTCACTGACATAACAAGGAGCACATGGCAACGCACACGTGAATTCTCCATGCATCCCTTTTATTCCAGGCCTTGCCCAGGAGAGAGGGAATTCATAAGGAGCCTGTGAATTACCACTGCTTATGGTAGAGGCTATTTCTAGCACTTAATCCTGCATTTCTTATAGATACAACACAAGAGCTTGGGGGATCAAGGACTCTACGAGGGACTGTAATTTCAATTGACTAGAGCAGCTGGAACCCAAAGCAATATTTGCTGGAAGAGCCTTGAGGGAGCACAGGAGAGAAACTTTGGGCCAAAGAAGAAAGGCAAAGTGGTGAAGGAGATTATTCATCCTATTTTTTGAATTATCTTATGCTTCAATACAATCTTCGCTCACCACGTGGTGGTCAGAGCACGCTGACTGCTCCATAAAGGGCTCAGCAAGAACCCCGATACATGCAGATGACTTGTGCAAGGGTGAGAATGAAATGCAGCCTGCTTGCCCATAAATAGATTTGAGGTTTTTTGTTTATGTTTTGTTCTGAAACAGCTTTGTACTCCAGCCCAGAATAACTCTTTTCTCCCACGTTTCCCCTTCTTGGCTGGCTCAGATGTGCAGCCACCAGCTGTTTGCTAGGATTGTTCCTTCTCCTTGCTCCCTCCCCTCCGAATTCTTCAGGACATTATTTTCTTGAAGCTTTTCTCAATAAGAATTTAATCAAACAAAACAAAAACACAGCAACCCGCCGCTTGTTGGACAGCGTTTGATGTGTAAATATGTAAAGAAGGAGTGTTTTGAAAATGCAATCAGCTACCTCCTGGGGACTGGAGTCCTCGAATGAGCCAAGGTGACTCCACAAGGGAGATATGTGCTCCTGCAAGATTAAATTCCAGCTGCAGTGGGAGCACGGGTGACCAGAGGCACAGCTAAGCCACTTCTTAAAGGGAGATTTTTTGAATAGCAGCACGATTCTCCTCCAGGCCAGGCAGTGTGCTCCTTCCTGCGTATCGTCAACCAAGTCCTCGCCTCAGGCCGGCGTTGCTATCAGTTCCCACCCTGCAGCTCTGGGAGTTATTTGCCCATTTTGCTCTTTCTTGCCTCTGTGGAGCTGAGACGATTGATGCCTCTGCACTCTGCAGGTACTCATCAGTTTTATGGCCATATCAAACTTGGGGGGAAGTAGCTCCCAATATTTTACCACGGAGTGAAATACCTCGCACACACAGCGTACGCTTTATGTCAGAGCTACTGTGATTGCTACCAATTAAGTACACGGGAGGTGACTCCAAGGAAAGCCTGCAGCAGTGCTGGTCTTCTGGCAGGTCAGGAGATACACTGCGTATAAGCTCCTGTCCTGCAGGGCTCAAGCAGATGACTTTTTGTCTTGTTCTCATCCTGCTTAAAGGGTTCTCTTCTACTGCCGTTATTACTGAATAAAATACACTGCAAAAATTCTTACAGTGCAACCTGATGAATGAGTCCTGCTGCTATTTATGTTTTGTTCACGCACAACAATTCACAACACTGTTAACTTCAAAATTCCTCTACACCTAGTCCAAATCGGCAGTTGATGGGTTTGTCCCAGCACACTGACTGCCAGTTATGCTATCTGTGATGCTCAGGAACATTAACGGTGTATTATTGTGAAGAGACTCACAGGAGAGGGGGCTGTATGCTTACTTATAATTGCTTCGATGCAGCGTCCCCTTGCAGCAAGAGAAAACATATTCAAGTGGCATTTGTCTTCTCATCCAAAAGTCTATTGAAATAGTTTTCCGTCTTCTCTTTAATAGTATCGATCAGAACTCACTCACTTTCACAGATGCAACTCTGAAATTTAGGACTGGCCATGGCCTTTGGGGAGCAATGCTGATACTCAAAAAGAAATGTCACTCCTCAGTAATAGGGAGCTGGTGTGTGGTTACGTACTCAGCACGAGGTTTATCGGGTGCTGAGTTGCTGCAGGCTCCACCTTTCAGCCATGACACTAAACTGATGCTCCTACCACCGTGTTCACTTGCAAGCCCACCAGGATTTTTCCATCAACTTTGCTAATCCCTGTGTTCAAATTCCAGCTTCAGTCATTGCAGACCGCCTATGGTCCTAAGCAGAGACATTAAGCACCCCTCCCAGCTCCGAGGGGCTTGTGTTTCAGTGGTGGGCAAGGTAGTCCCTGCATAAAACAGCTGGAAAGTGTGTTCTGGTCTCCTTCGTGTCTAAGTGTCTGCTGAAACTCCAAGCAATTTAATCTATTTAGGTGCGATAGCAGGATATCAGTCATGGTGACTGGAGATAAAGCATCAGGTTATTTGTTCAGGAGTTAAGGGAAAAGTTCAAATCTGTGTTCAGTTTGGAGCTTCAGAAATTTTTTGGAAAAGAAAGCAAATGGTGCCCAGATCTGGAAAAGAAGCAGTCCCTTTACTCTAACTGGCAGCAAAAATAAAAAAAAAGGCAGTCTGCTGTTGTTGAA